AAACTGGAACAATGAAAAGATGTCTTGAAATGAATTAAAAAATACATAAATTTAGAACCAAATTTTATAGTTGTCTTTTGTAGGCAGCTGTCCCTTATTAGTGAAATTATGCACGATAATCTTGAAAAATCTTTTTGGTATCGCAGGGGATTTGAGAGTGATGACACCTGACAAGTCATTTTGTCAGGCACTACACCAGAATTTCCTCTATGTGAGTTCAAAAGGAGACTAAAATAAAAAACAGGCAATATCACTCAGAATAACATGTGACGAAAGAAAATATTTTATAATTGTGTATCTTTACCAAAGAAACCCTTTCAGCTATGGCTATACAACACAATTCAGCACAGGGTAGATCAGTGACTTGCAGCATCATAGTCACACCAGAGAGGGGATGTGCCTTGTTCAACATACACAACTTCTTGGCAGAACAAATTAAAGCAAACAGAATGCAATAGCACAGCTATATTGCTTCTTACTAGGAAAGTTGCCACTGTCTTCTGCAAATACCCAAGAGGTTAGGGCTTCACAGAACTGTCTACATCACGGACTGCAGCTCCCTCTAAGGTTATGTTCTCTGTTTAGCTATTACCTTGATTAATCAAGAAACAGTGTACTGTATTGAAGTTCAGAAGATAAACGTTTCTCTAATTTTTCTATTTTTTTAGATGTTTTTGCAATAATAATGCCAATCTTTTTCTTTTAGTCTTGAGATCATTCTCAATTCACAAATTAAAAATTATCAAAGATAAGGTAGTCTCTCTACGTTCTACATTCTCATCCTCAGATTCTAAATTCTAGTATTACTTACAATGGTAATATTTTTAGTTAAATTAATATCTTGCCTTTCCTAATCAGTCTCTATGTACACAATAGAATATGAGCATAAAGTGGATAAAAAAGGTGCATGTGGGATAGTTTATTCACCTTGGAGACATTTGGACAAGATCTCTTTTTATATTTAATTATTTTCTTAGATTTCTCAGAGGCTGCAGAATATTCAGGGTAACTTGCCTTTACAAGGAGAACAAGCAGACTAGAATCCCTTCAGGTCAGGAATTATCAAAGATGAAGAATCTTATTCTAAAACTGATGTGAAAAAAAGATAAACCACAACTAATGCAACTGTGTGGTACTCTAAAGTTCCCAGCATGCAGGTTGCATGCAGGAATTTTCAGATCATGTATCAGATTATGAATCAGAGAAATTAGTTCCATGAATTCTAAGAGAAGGTTGGATAGATTAAAGCATAAGTGAGCATAACTGTTAACAACAGAGCATAACTGTTACATAAAATTTGATGAAAATAATTTAGGAAGATTTCATGAGCAGATTGGTGTCTGATGGTCTGTTAAAAATGTCAGCAATGTTTTCTTCAGGCAGAGTACAGAAGCTTTTTCCCTTCTGCAAAGAAATGTTGGAGGTTTCTGATTTACTGAAGATCAGCTGGGTGCAGGAGGCTAGAAGACTGCAGAAAAGCCATTTTTCACTGTGGGCCTTGGGCAGCTGATTTAGCAGGGAAATGAAGAGAATGAAGGTAAAATGAGCTAAAATAGCTAGGAAAGTAGCTTCCAGTATTTGAATACAGAAATACACATACTGCAGCTGTGGCATTACAGAGGCAATTAAATGGGTGTTCCATAATCTTAGCTTGACTCACAAGCCAAATGGGATGTACCATTTTAAGATTCTGCCTCCATGTACTACATATGTGAATAAGTGCTGTATAATAATGTTCTATCTCCAGATTAGTGGATACAACATGACTAAGCGTGCTATTTTAGTCACCTTTGCCATGATGATTACTGTTAGACACTTCTGAGAATCTTTAAGACTAGTCATTCATCTCCATTTCTTCCTTGTCACAATCCACCCAGATGCTGTCTACTGTGACCTTTCTGCTCTTATTTCATTGTGCTGTTTGCCAGATGATTATTTTTGATCCCTGTGGTCCTTCATAACAAATAGACCCTATCGCTGTCTTTATATAGAATGAAAAAGAGTGGTTATCTCAGTATCTTTGATAATCTGTTTAAAATAGTACACTGAAAGGAATGGCACAGGAAATACTTTTATGTCATTTAATTCTGCTTCTTCTATCCGCTCTACCTTTGTTTTTAAAAAAGGAGAAACAAAGCAGGCAGGATGTTTGTGTGGAAGGCCAGGAATATTGAATAAAGCTGTTCTTCTCTCTAAAGGACTGTCAGCGGGATACTACCACTGCAAAGCCATTTGTTTCAGAAATAACCTTTATATTCCTTTAGTGCAACCAAATTTGTATACTGATAAATAACAATAATCTTCAGCTATTGTCTGAGGATATGAAGCTCATACATAAATAAAAAACTGTAAAACCTGCATTCATTTGGTGCTAGGTAGTTTCTACATCTTTACTACTTCATTTTTACTTAATATAATAAAATAATAATGATCCCAAACTAGTTATCTCAGAGGGCCTCAGGTAAGCCAGCAACATCCTTGTATAAGAATTATGTTAAAGGGGCTTACCCAAAATTCAAATGGAAGGCTGTATGTTATCTTCTGTTCTTTACAGAAAGTGTAGAAGAGGTGATGGACCAAAACTTCCTATATATCTGAGAGCTCCCATTCTGCTATGCTCCAACAGATGGCAGGGCTTCCAGGAATTTCTAGAGTTTTTCCTGCTGGGATCCTATGTAAGGTATGGTTGTCCCTCTGCGTGAAAAAAAGGCAGAAGAACAAGCCATCATAAAACATAAGGGATATCCTTGTGTTTATTTTGCTAAATGAATTTACATAGTTAGAGAAGGAGAAAGCTACAATTACCCTTTTTGGCTGCTAGATAGTGTTGGTGATTTTTTAAGCACATCTCTATAAAGGGCAAAATGTCAAAGTTCATCTTGTTCTAAAGATAAGTGTTTGTTGTCAGAGCATTATCTGCTTTAAGTGGTGGAATAGCTCCAGAAAAATAACATGCATTTAATTGTGTCTATTAGATATTCAAGATAATAATTCATTTACTGGGAACAGCTTCACAGTTTTGTACCAGATTGTCAGAAGGAGCATCTGATAACTACTTGAAATAAAAACCAGAGCAATTAAGATACACAGTTAGGAGAGGTACAGTAGTTTGTGGAAAATCTGGCTATGCTCTGCCCTCAGGTCCCTTTCCGTAGTTCCAGAATAAGTCTTCAGATAGGTAATAGCTACTCTGAAATAAGAATGTAAAACTGAAAGCAGTACTTGCTACGTGTTTGGAAACACAGTGTTAACTTCTACCTGAGACAACAGAAGTGAACTCAAATGAAGGTTGAAATACACCAACTTCAATAAACCTGACTGATACTATTTAAGACTCCACGTAACTAATTGTCTTGCTAGTAGCAGTAGTCCTAGAAATGCTAATTGAAAAGAGTCCAAGATTATTGGCAGTTAAGATGTATGAACGAATGTTTCTGATGTAGCAAACTTACAGAATCTTGGACTGGGTTGAAGGAACTCTGGGTACACTTAGGGCTTGCTGTAAAATACATGAAATTTCCATGTTTAGAGTAGCATATGCTTGGGTTTAGTTACCACAGAGCAAGAAGAGCCATAGCGGAAATGACAGAAAATTAGCAATTCTTACACGTTTCAAGTCTACAAAGAATTTAAGCATATTCTGGATTTTGATTTAGTCCCACTGAAGTATTTTTTTTATAAATTTAGTTAGTTATGGTTAAAGTACATGATATTAAATGCCATTATAGATGGGACCCTAGTGACATCTTGGGTATGAGTCTATACTAATTCACACGCATGACTTTCCTTTCAAATTAAACTAACGACTACAAAACTGTGGAGTATGTAATCAATAGATTTTGGTTTTTCTATCTCTTGTACAAAATATTTGAGGTATAGAGCAGGTCAATCAAAATGTAACAAAGTATTTTATTCCATTATGGAGCATGTGATTCAGATGATCAGGCCAAAAGTGACCAGCTTAATTCAGCATGATATATCAGCAAAACAGAACAGCTGCCCTGGGGTATGAGTGGCTCAGAACTTTAATTTTTAATCACTACATATAAATAATCACATCAGAAATACACTTTTGATTTAGTTGTAGAACAGAGTAAGAGAAATATATATACCTCTTAACCTTGTCCTAGAATCAAGTATTAGTTTAAGGGCTAGTTCATTTAAGTGGCATCAGAGTAGGCAAACTGTGAATGCAAAATGAGTATATAATTGCATCCAGATATTTTTGGGCTAGTATTCAGTGTTGATTATATGAACTCAGACACTAAGGAATACTAAATGCCTTTCCTTAACCACAGCACAAAATATCTAAGATTTGCAAATGACCTTTTCTACCCTTCCTCCTCCTGCAGTTTGCAAGAACTAAATACTCCCATCACAAAGTCACTTCAACAAAGTATGTCAAAGCATATTTGAAATGGCCAGTTGGTGAGAGGTGTGTATCTACCTGAGTAGAATTTTCAGAAATATTTACTCAGAAAAATGTTGACCCTACTGTTGCTGTGTTTAGACTCATTTTGAGGCTAGTTTTGTGTGGCTATTCAGGCAAAGGAGTCAAATAACAGAACAGTTCAGACAAAAGAGAGTAAGAACACCGCAAATGTTGAACTTAGAAATGTGACTAGTCATAAGAAATTATAAGTTTCTTTTAACCAGTCCTGGAACACGAAAATACTGGATGACTCATACACCCTATCAAAGCTCTTTAGAACAGCTTAGATGTTGAATTTCAAATATTTGTGAACAATATATACTCTACAACTTACTCAGAGCAATAATCTCATGAATACATTTGAGAAAATTATAAGATGTTCATGACAAAATCACATGCAGAAACAGAGATAAAACTAATTAAATCAATTATTTGCCATGAATTATTTGAAACTTCTAGTCATCACCAATATCAGATACCAAGCTTGTGAAATAAAAGTATCATTCATAGTAGCCAACATTCACATTATTTACATAAGTTTTTAGCTACGACAAAATACAAGCAGTCATTTTTACATAGTTTACCATTTTTATTAAAATTGTTTTTGAAAGAGCTCAGCATCATTACAACTGCTGGAAGTATGCTAGATCACAGTGCAAATAGAAGAAAATTAACTTTATGACAATGAGTTTTATTGTAAGAATGTTTTTACTTAAGCTTTCTGGTAATTTCCTATAAAAAAACCCAAAGAGATTGGTTATTTGCAATAATCAATATGCACTATATATCTGGATAAACACAGGGTCACAGACTGCTATGCAAACAGATCATGAAGCAGCAAAAGAAAAACTTCATTTGTTGAATTTGATACTGTGTATAAAAAAATACCTGTAACCTTTAAAACTCTTAAAAGGCTTAAATCATAACACAAGCCCAAGTGGATATGCTCCATCAACCCAACAGTATGGCATTAGACTTGCAGTCAGTGAAGTGGTCTGTGCAGAGATTACTTTACCTTCACTGAAACCACTTCCTATTGCTCGGCAGTTGCTAGAAAAAGGAAGAAACCTGAGTGACAAAAGCAACCTTCAAAATTGGAGATGTGCAATATTTTCCTAATCAATAACAAATGAATAACATGATAGTGCTTTGAGAAGGAGCTGTGAATTCCCCCAAAAGAAATCTATTTAAGATGTGTTCCACAGGAAGGAGAAAAGTTGTTTGAAAAGCCAGGACCTCAGTTTGAACTTTGGGGATGATGGCCCACAGTAGAGCTTTCATGTGTTTTCTTTGTGAAACTGTGAGGAGACTGCTCTCCCTCAAATCTACAAAACACAAAGAGTTGCAAGGTGGAACAGATGGATTAGTAGTAGTTAAAACCAATCTGTATGAGTAATTTTTACTTCAGTGCTTGCAATTTTAAAATTCATATTTCAAGTGGATGACTCTGAGGATGGCCTGAGAGACACAGTAATGCAGGAAGAATAGGAGACATGGTATCAGGTACCTCATACAGGTGGAACCTTAAGATAAAGAGAGATAAGGTAAAGAGGGCAGAGCAATGCACTGCAAAGATACCATGTATTAGTGGAATAAATAATTAAAATTAACTGTTGTGAAATGTGAAAACCAATTATTTCTATAAATTCAGTGTTGTTCTCTAATTCATTCTCATGGTTCAGCAATGGGCATGAACAATAACATGAAAAGTTGGCAATAAGTTACTTCTCCTTATTCACCCTTGCTTCTCCAGGAGAAGACACAGAAAGATAATATGAAGGGCAACAAGTTGGTGGAAATAAAGAAATGGTTTCAGTGAGAAACCAGTCTTTGCTCACTAACAGCAAAACTGTGATTCCCTCTTGATGTTTTCTTACAGTCCTGACGTAACTCAGAGCAAAAAGAGTGAGCCTATGCTTACCTTTCCTATAGTCATAGGTGAATGAGGTTACCAAGAATTGAAGGTACAAGGTATCTTGAAAGAAATCTTACTTTTATTCCCTGAATAAAGTCCAGCCAGACTATGCTGGTGTATGGTAGGCAGGCATATGCCACTTCAGACTGGTATGCTGGTAGAAAAGCACAATCTGGTCACAAATCTGGGTATGATTCTCTAAGGAGCAAAAAGATAGGTATATATTAAATGTCTTAAAATACAGATATGTATCTCTGGCTGATGGCAGGAAGGAACAGAGTATTGTTGCTTGTATTTTTGTTTCTAATGAAAGAAGCCAATCAGGAGGTGTTTATAGGAGTTTGGAGGAATTTACCTTTTGGAGGGTACAGATTCCTCCAGAAGGTTCTCAGATACTCATGGAAATTCACATGTTGCAGAAGAAAGGACTGTTATTCATGTTTAAAGAAAATCCTTTTACACCATTGTTTTTCTCTTTTCTTACCACTTTTACAGGGGACAAAAGTGTTCTGCTTCTCTGCTAATTCAGATTTGATATACAATGCACTTAGCCAGGGACATTGACAACTTGGTTAAGTGTTTTGTTAACTGTCTTCATTCTTCAAAAAAAAAAAAAACACAATCCTAGGAGAGTATTTTCTCTTTCTATCTTGCTTCTGCAGTATTTGTTTTGGCTGTGATTGACCCCTTTTTTTTTCCCCACACTGTTTTGATACACTGAGCATGCAAACTCTACGGAAAGTCAAAAGTGTTCATATCCTATTTTTGCTTACTCTCTTCCCCTTTTTTATTCTCCTGGACTTTTGTAATTCAGGCCATCTTCATAATTCCTTGCATAAAAGGAGGAAGACATTGCCTCAGTCTTCTGTTCTTCCAAAAGTTCAGTTGCTATGCAGCTGACCTCTCTGCTGGCCTCTTTCTGTTGTTGTATGACCATATGCAATGTCTTCTCACTTTCAGCTTTAACATCTTGAAAAAAAAATGAAAGGTATGAGGAGGTTAGCAGTGATATTTTGTACTTCGTTTCTCATCAAGTTTTTAGATATGTAATGTAAAAGCTAAACTGTCAGTGAAGCAACACTAATTCAGATCCTCTGAGGACTTCAACATTAGTATTGATAAATCACCTCTACGGAAATGCTCCTACTTGGAGGACCAAATCAGAGTAAAGCCTTAGATAATGCAAACCTTCACACTCAGTCCTAATCCAAAAGGTCCTATTTGTACTGGCTACTATCAGTTACAGAAGATGTGGAAGACCTCTTGGCCTTGCAAGCTTTAGCTATCACTATTAATAAATTCAGCAGACAAAAGTCAAACTGGGTAAAGTTCGACTCTCCCAGCATAGGAGGAAAATCTTGATAATGTGAAGTGGCTACCTAAGTAATTACAAATTGTAAAACTAGATAGGCAGCTATTCCAGTGCTATGATCTAAACATGTTGATCAATTCATTAATAGTAGATAGGCTACAAATAAAGAATTTAGTTGCTTTCTAGTACATTGATTAAATGTTTTCTATTTCTTCTTTGTAATACATTCTGCAAGGCACTTATTTTTTACAGTAACAATGAGATTCCATTTTTACTCTGAGGGCTAGCATAATTCTTACACTAGAATTGAATATTAAAACCCAGCAGCTTCCTGAAGTGAAATGTAAAACTAAGAAATGGTCTATAAAGGATATCGTGATTGACTTATGCATGTGGTTGGTAAAGACATTAATGTAAAAATGCATCATGTCCTGGATGCTGTCTGCTAAAATTATAAAATATGGTATCTATTCCCACAAAAAATACAGACTCATAAAAGCTTTAAAAAGTACTATTAAAAAGCAAAATACCTTGTCTGTTGTCTTCATTTTTTTGATAGATCTCTGTTTCACTCATGGTAAGTTCTCCTGCAGGTCCAGAGAGGCGCTTTCCCTTTCAGGGGTGCTTTTTTCTCTTGATCACCATTTTGAATGCTTTCTGTAATACCTGCCCTCCCCTCATTATACAGGAGATTGTTCTTTGGTGCTGTTCAATAACATGGTAGGCTCTGCAAATGCAAAAAACTTCACAATCTATTCCAAATCATTTAGGAAGAAGCAGATGTATCACCCTACCACAAAGATTCATTTGTTTTCCAGTCTCAGGAAGATAGGGTTTAGTATTCGGTCCCATCACTCCTTGTTGCTGTGACCAACTTCTGAATGATATCTGGAATGCTTGGAGTAATCAAAACAAGAAGTTGCAAGTGTTCCTTAATGTTCCTCCAAGATGTAAGAGCAAGAGCATCTTCTGGATGCTTGTGGATTTTATCAAAATCAATTTATGCAGTAATTACTGACATGTAAATAGGTCTCTTGGTCAAAAGGAACTAACCTCACTTAGAAATACTTATAATACAGGTTGCAGAACCCAGTAAGTAATTAGAATAAATTCATTAAGCCTCAAGAGGTAAGCATTTACCTCCTCTTGGCTCAGGAAGGACATGTTGCTGTAAAGCATCCAGATGCATGTCAGCCTGGAACTACTACTATGACAAAGGACAGTGAACCGGGACAGATATGAACAAAAGCTCAAGTCTAGAACTACAGCTTCATATTTTCCTTGTATTTTTCTCCAAGCTCTTCTGGGAAAATAGTCCTTTTTGTGCAGTAGGAAAAGAAAGAATTATAGTTCTCATAAAAACAAATACAGACTGCTGCAAATCTAATTTGCCCATTGCACCCAAGAGTAAAAGATCAGTGATCTGGATTTGATTAGCTGCTGTATATATATTCAGAATTCTTTTTTAATTCCTGTAGAATGGGACTTGTGACTGTGTTCCAGGGCATTTTTTATGATACACACAGATTACTTGGCTAGGTTGCTCAAAAGTTGCCTTTATCTCACTAAAAATGCAGTAAGGCTGAGTGAAAGAGAATGAGATATAAGCTGGTCTTTTACCTGCCATCTCAGTCACCAAGTTCTGTCAGTGCTCCAATAGAAGGGCTTGCATCAATTTATAAAGCAAGGCAAGAGAAGTAAATGAGTAACCCACTGAACAAGACTAAATCACAACTTGCCCTTAAATCAATAAGCAATGCCCATTAGCGAGCCTGAAGCCTGCAGAGAAGAGCTGCTCACTCCAGCAAGGACAGCTCTGTTTATGGCTAAACCGCTCAGTGGAGCTTAGGGACTGAGCCCAGGCACCATACTGTTGATCATACATGTTAATTAACTGAAAGCCTTCACCCTGGGATGGCCAATTAGCACTCTCTGTGGCATAGTTCACATGACAGCCTGCTCAAGGGACCATTCTGAGTAGTTAGTTCAAACATGTTCACGGATTCTTTTGGAAGTAACAAGGAGATTTGCGCTGAACAGATATAAGTCAGGTCATGCCACTTAATTTCAGAGCCCACAAACAGTCCCTAACCATGTTCAATTAGCAATCTAACTCAGCCTCTTTACCACTAGTTCTCTCAAAAAATCTTTCTTTAAATAATCTCTATCAGTACCTACCTTATCCTATCTACGTCCATCAGCCAAGAATGGCCTTGATGGCTTTCTAAAACCTATACGTTGTTTCATCATACACAGGACTTAGGCGTTTTTCCTAAATACTTAAAAAGCTCATATGCTCTGCTAGTTTGTCAGTGTTTGTCAAAAACCATACAGATTCTGACTCCTCTGGCTGTTGCTTGCTTCTGTTAGTGGGTAAGAAAATTTCTTTGCTCAGTATAAATGATGTGTTTGATATAGTAGAAACCGGACTACAAAAAGCTCCTGGATCACTTCAAGATGGTTATAAGAACAATCAGAACCATTCTGAAATGCTTGCTGCCCTGGTCTCCAAATGAGCCCAGAGAATTGTCACACCACTGAGACTTGGTGATTCATGAAGCTCAGAAGTTTTCTGGCATATTACTCAACACTCAGTCACTGCTATGATGCAAACATTGCTCTCATCCCCAACCACTGCAGAAGAGATCACTATCCAGAGGTGAAGAGGAAATTTTTCAACAGTAAAGATCTCAGAAACATGGAACTTGCGTATTAGCATGAATTTATTCCTCATCATACAGTTACCTTTGAACAGGAGAGGTGAAAAGTACCATCTCATAGTAAACCAACAGATTAGCACATGATGATTAGTCACGGAAGGTACCTATTTCCTTCCACTGACCTTGGAGAATGCCTAAAAAATAGCAAGGATGATTAACTAATATGCTTCTATCAAAGAGTAAAATTACCAAAAAATCTATCTACACTTCCACGAACTTAAATATTACAATAACTAAAAAATATATTTCTTTGTTAATAATAAACTCATTTCATCCAACATAGCTTAATTTCTCCTATTTGCAACTGAAAAAGAACTGAATGGCAAGAATGTGTATTTTGTGTGAAGCGTCAGCTTTCTATCATCAAGCACAGCCTGATTAACTCAACGTGCAGAAACCTATAAAAGTTTGAAATTAATTTACAGAAATGTAGACAAGTCAAACCAAACAACAACAAAATCCCCAGACTTCATACTCAACTTAATTAAAAGAGCTAGACTGTCACACAGAAAGGAAAGACAAGTTAAAGTCAGACGTCTTAGAAATGATCTTTAGTAGAAAAATGTTCCTGTATCATTACCTATATCCTAAAGAGGTAACCTGCTACATCTATGCATCAGTGCTCTTCAGTAAAGGGATCTCTGTTATAGCCATATTTTGACATAAAGGATAAAGGAGAACAGAAGCTTGTGTGGAGACCTCAGAGAAAACTTCCAGTATCTGAAGGAGGCCTACATTGTTTTAAATGTTCTGCAAAGTGACTCCATAAAACAGAGGATGGAGCTCTGTGGCATGCATTACACGTCAGCTTAGTTCAGTTTTGAAATACTACAGTTTTAAATAACAGTGCTCGAGACTTCCGTCGGTATCTTAACAGGGAAGTTGAGTCATTTCTGGCTCAGGCACTGCCAGTCATAGGAGAAGAGGCTGTAGCTGCAACAGAGGGTGCTGCCTGCACCCACACCATCCCACCTGCCAGGCACATCTGACTGCTGAAGTGTTGCAGCGCAGTCAGCATGGTATCAGGTTCCCCCTGTGTATCCCTGCCCTACCATGAGACAGGCAACAATCCCCAATGCAAGCAAGTCACAGTCTGATGTGTAGTTAAGCACCAACTGAACAGCTGCCCAGATGTGTGACCTCAGTCTGTGCTGATGTAACCAGGTGACACAGCTACTGCACCACAGCTTTAGCACTACAGCTGTGGTACCAGGAGTTTGGGAGGGAAAAGAGAACATGTAAAGGATAAACCAGCTTCCATGGGGTAAGCCAGGATATATGAGATCTCTGAAGTTACACCTTTGCACTGCAGTGTAGGCAAACAGGGCCACCCTATTGGTGCAGGATAGCAGGAAGAGTCTGTTTTGCTTGCTTTTTACCTGATCAAATGGAAATAAAATTAAAATCCCTCATAAAAAATATGGATATAGATAATTTTTCTTCTAGAAACACTGATAGAAACACTGATTATGAGTCAGAAAGTCATTGTGACAAGCACTGTGCAGACAACAGTGATCCCTGCTCTGAGGAGTTTACAGTGTTAATGTACTAATGTCTGCAGAGTAAGCAATGGAAGAAGCAGCAGACTTTAATTTACAGTTGATGTCAAAATTATAAAGCAATTCAAAAACCTGGATATTATAGAATGTGAGATCACTGAAAAGTAGAGCTAAATTGTTGGAAACAAGGTAATAATGGAAGATATATAACAGCAAATACCTAAATTATTCTCACCCCTACTTTTTATCAACTCTTAAAGTAATTTTTCAAAATTATGTATAGTAATAATGTAAAACACAGTAATAAGGGCAGACTGCCAAACAGTATTTACAACACAAATCAAAGGGGTATGCTGCAGTATACATTAAAATTTAAACCTTTCATCTGCTGCTTGTATGACAGTATTGTGAGAAAGACAGAAATGGAAAACTTTTGTCTCTAATTAAAACTCCTCATAGAGATCCAAGTCCTTAGAATTTCATATAAGTGTTGTTATAGCAAGACAGTAATCAAGATGAGTTTTGGTATTTTTTGAGACAAAAAGAACTGGGAGTTAAATATACACATTTGTCATTGCAGATAGCACAGGAGATTTTTAAGGTGGTCTAATGCATGTATATATCTTCTGATACCAGGGAAAAAATCATGCTGATGATTTTCCAGAAAGGCTACCACCTTTTCTGGAATACTAGGATACAATGCAATGAGCAGAAAAATAGAGGAAGAAGTAAAAAAGAATCTTCGTTTTTTCAAGCAGCTCTTCAATGCTAGTAGGTATATGCCAAATGGGTACCTGGAAACTTCTGTGTGCTCTAGTGCCTAGAGACACCTTCTGAACACTGTTTAATTTATTAGATACACATAGCTATGGAATTCATTGTTCTAAGGTCACAACTAATTTGGTAAGGTACCATAAGCCAGAGAGGTTATGTCTGTTGCTTGCTTGTTACTGCAGCTAGTACAAATCCACAAGGAATAACAGACACTTACATGGAATTTAAGAAGTACTATCCTGGACAGTCCTGATGGAAATGCATGTAATAACAGTTTTTCAAACTATGTGTGAAATCAGAATTCTAATCAAAACCAATCTTCAAAGTTTTCTGTCTCTTTCTGTCCTAAACTTTCTTTGTATTAAGAACCACCAAGACAATTTAAAATCTGCCAAGCTGATCTGTGACATTATATATGTTCTCCTAAGAAACAACATACCATAAGAGGTTACTCTTGAAATAAAGTTCTAAAATTCTGGCAATACCAATTATGAACCCTATGAAAAGTTTTTCATTCCAGAATGACTGATCTCTGTGTTCTTTATCTTGAGGAGTAAGACAAGCTTGAAATGTCTAAATGTTGGCAGAAGATTATTTTGTTTTCAAATAAAACATAAATTTTGTAGATCTTGAATAATGGCATTCTCTAAGTATGTACTCTTCCCTTGTTTAAGGTAGGGCTTGTAGTCAGAACTGAACCTCAGTAGTCTTAGAGTAGTGCTAGTAATGTTGCC